AAAAAAAAATCAAAGTCACGAAAGAAAAAAGAAAAAAGAAAATACGTACTAAAATACAATATTTCAGGAATCCAGTTAAGGATTTTAATTTGAAAGGCACAAATTCTTTAAGGCACAGATTCTTTAAAGCTTTAAAAACATTTTTGGTTCAACTGTGAAAATTTGATATATTCAAATACTAATTTTCTGAAGTAGGATAATGAAGTAGGATAATTTTCTGAAGTAGGTATGTGTCCTTATTTTAAGAAATGCATGGTAAAATATTTAGAGATGAATCTAACAATTGTTGAAGTAGGTGGTAGTTATGTGGATATTCATTTTATTGTTTAAATTTTTTGGATGTTTGAAGTTATTTGTAATAAAAAGTTAAAAAATATCAAACAAGCATAGTTTTTATAACTATGTATGTTGACAGATGTTAACTAAACTTACTGTGGTGAACATTTTGCAATATATACAAACATTGAATCATTATGTTATACACCTGAAACTAATAGAATGTTAAATTATACCTTAATTTAAAAAAATGCCGACCTATACTACTGAATCTTTACTACATTTTTTAAAGACCTGGAAAATATATTATTATGAAGTTGATTCTATCAAGGATTTTTTTCTTTATTTGACACTAAAAAAAAAAGCAAAGATTCTTTATTGGACACTGAAAAAAGCAAATGGTAGGACATTGTTGCACAGTTCATTTCCTTATCTGCATATATTTATTTTTAAAGTCAATATGAGCTTGGGTAGGCATAGAAAAAATCTGGAAGAACACACGAACTCAGTATAGGTTATCTGGAAAGAGGGGAGATAGAGGACTTCAAACTTTTTACCATATACACTTAATAACAAAAGGTTTTGGGTGTTTTAAATACGATAAAAATAGCATTGGCTTAGTTTTTCTGTTTGTTCTTCCTACCATTTTTATAGTCGGTCTTGCTCAAAATTTCAAAGCCCTCTTTAAGTACTCTTTTTCTGACTTTATATTATTCACCGGGTCCTGCCTTTCTTTTATCCATGTCAATCTTTATCTATTAAGCCTATTCCTGCCATTCTCATAGTCCAAATTCTCAGATAAATTCAAATCTAGGATTTTGTTTTCTAACTCCAGCTGCTTTTTCCTTTCAGCTTTCAAAAGTAAAGTCATATAAATCATTCTAAAACATTGCTGGCATTACCTTAGTCAAAAGTGATACCGGTTTCACGCCACTTTTATATGTTACATAGGGACACAAAGCTTGTGAACCTTCCACTGTCCCTTCAATCTTTGTCTCCGGTTGGCACCCCATCTACCTTGGGACACCCCCCTTTACAATTTAGATGAAATACAACTCAGAGTGTGAGAACTGTTGACTGATCAGTCACTGAGAAGCCACGCAACCTAGAAGCTCAGGTACATTAGTTCCCAGCAGGTGAGTCTTGACCTATTGGAAACAAAAAATGGGAGGAAGCTGGACAGATAAAACATTCCTTCTTTCTCTCTCATACGGACTATTCTGAAGTGTAGTTTTTCTTTGAAAACCTTCCAGAAAAATCCCATATGCAAGTGACCTGCTATGTCTCTTCCCAGCTCAAGGTGAAGCAGTAGCTGAGGATGGAATGTACTGCATCTCCCCCTGGCTTACTTCCTTCTCTCCCTCACTTTCACGAACTACCCTGGACTTGCACTTTCCAAATAAAAAGTCAGCACTTTAATTGGATTCTGCTTCCCAAGGATGCGGGCGAAAGTGCACATCTTACCTCAGTTGATCCTCACAAGCTACGACCCTGTGTGGTAAATAAATTAGAAAGCTATTAGGAATAAATTAGGACCCCTATTACAAATGAAAACTGAGGCTCAACTAAGAACCTTTCCCAAGATGTAAGGTTTTCTGTTCACTTACTATACCCAGTCAATCACAAATTCTGCGTTTTACTCCCTAAACATTTCTCACTTCTCCTCTCCATCCTACAACTACCCTAAAGTAATATTAGTCAGCATTTTTAAAAACCAGGGCCTAAGATGATTTCATTTAACCCTTTACTAGTCCTGTGAGGTAGATATCACCATTCTCATTATAACTGGAAAGCTGAGACTTAAAAAAGGTTTCTTAAAATGGACCCATGGTCTCACAAATAGCAAGTAGTACAGCTAGTATGAACCTGGCTAGCATGAACCTAGACTGTCTGATTTCAAACCCCATGCTCCTCACTCCTCATCAATTATCATCATGTGCCTCAGTTAAAACATATATCAGATCACATCATGCCCTTGCTGAAATCTCCCAGGGGCTTCTCATTAGTTAGAATGAATTGAAACTTCTTCCATGGCCTACAAGCTGTCTCCTGCCACATCTGACTTTATCGCTTGCCATGCTTATTTGCTCACTATGCTATAAATATGTATTGAGTGTCTCCTACATGCCAGCCATTGTTCTAGGTGCTGAGGAGAGAGCATAACTAACAGACAAAAGTCTCTTTCCTCAAGAGGTTCTCTTGCTGTTCTTTAAACATTCCCCATTTGTTGCTCCTCCTACCTGGAGCATTCTTCCCCCATATGGCTGGCTCTTTATCTTTAGCATCTGTTTAAATGCCACCTCTAAGAAAGCTCTTCCTTTTCTAACCAAATCTATTCAAAACAGAATCCTTGCTCTCAGTTATCCTCCATCCTCTTATTCATTTTTCTTTTCTTTACAATATTTACTACAACATGAAATCATAATTATTTCTTATTTTGTAGTCTTTCAAACTACATTATAAGCTCTATGAGGACAGACTTTGTAGTGCCTGGTAGAGCAAGCCTTTGGTGACTACTGAATAAATTAATATCACAACGTTAGCTAGTATTAGCTAGTCTCTTGGTTTCCAGTTTTGTTTCACTTAAATCCACCCTCAACCATAGCCCGTGTGATCAGGTCACTCACCTCCTTAAATCCTTTCATGGGCCTCTTTTCTTACCTAATGAAGAACAAGCACACAAGACCCCTCCATGAAAAGGGCCCTGGGCGCAGGAGCTCAGAGATGAAGCAGCATATAAACTAGATTTTGAATGAGAGTGTTCTCCAGCTAGAGAAAGAAGGGCATTACCACTGAGAAGCTCAAAAGAACACGTTTTCCAAGAGAATCATTTCTGGTGTGAAGAGCTAGATGTGTTGACAGAAAATCATCAGCTGTAAATAGATTGAGAAGACCCTCACAAATGACATTAAGGAGTGAGGTTTTGATGCACAAAAGATGGTACGGTCTTAGAAAGTTTACAGGCGGGGGAATGGTGTGATCCAATTAGTGTTTTAGAAAATAAATAAAAAGGCAGCAGTGAGAAAAATAGATTGGACAGGAAGAGACAAACATCAGTCAGGAGGCTGCTTAATGTGAAATATATCTCATTAAGAGATAAAAGGCCAGAACTAAAGCAGTTGAAATAGGGATGGAGAGGAGGAACAGAGGAATTCAAGGGAGCCATACTAAACACCTACTTAATACAAATTCAATTTTATTATCAAAGTAGAAAATTTCCTACAACACGGCCTATAAATTTAAACCAACCAAAGAAATACCCCCCACAGTGGACTTTATTCTTCCATATGTATTATATAGCTCTTACCAAATGGGAGTGCCACTATAATAAGTCTGTCTCTAGTAGGTTGCATAGTAGGTACTCAAAGTATGTCATATCCATTTCTACAACATGGAAGATAGCACCTGGCACTCAATCTTTGTGAATGATCGAACGAGTAGAAGAATGCTTTATGAATGAGGTAGGACTTGAAAATTAGATGGGCTTAGGCCTAAAATGGTCATTCCAGGCCCAGTGCAATGGGTATGGGCAAGCAGGTATGGTAAACCTGGGGAACAGACACTGTCCTAAATTAAGAAGGAAGATGTCAGTTCTCTTGGTCTAGCCTAGGACAAGTCATGCTTATTCCTTGCCTGAAACATTATCCCCATCCACCCATCCCCATTCCCTATGGCTCACTCCTTCATTTCATTCAGCTGTCTGCTCAAAGATCGCCTCATCAGAGGCTTTCCTCACCAGCCTATCTAAAATTCTATACCACACTCTACATCCTCCCTTTCTAAATCTTTTCTTTGTTATTTTTCTGTTTAGCAGATTACTGAAGAAATTTTCTAACAATTTTATCCAGCTGTACCTGTATTAGGATGGACTTATTTAATTTCAAATCAAGTTTATCTGTCAGTTATTAAGATCAGGGCTTACTAAAGCCCATAGCACATTAAGAACTTTTGTAAATTTCACTGTAAAGTTTAAGTGTTGATCACTTTTAACTATAGATGTCAAAGAGAACATTAATTTCTTTTTGTGTGTGTGTGGAAACATATTGAATGAGAACATTAATTTTTTTAAAGGAAACATACACAACTCTGTCCCAGAGGGTAGGCAGGAAAGAATTTTATATTCCTTAATGAGGATTCTAGGAATGGGGCAGTAATCTGTAAACAAAATCATCTAGATTCAATTAATCATGAGAGACTAGGAAAAAATAGGTTCTAAACACAGGGCAATCAGTGACACAATGATTTCACGTCTATTTAAATAAGTGGTTTACAACAAAGCTAATTACATAGGACGTAGCTGACCAGAGGCAGGGTGCATTGGCCAAAACAGCCCTGGTGAGACCTAGCCTGCGCCAGGGGACACTGAGGCAGCTGTGTGCTCCGATGAACTTTTCCTGCTCTGCCCTCCCCACTGGGAAGTCGAAAAGTCTGTGCAGAGGCTAAATAAATTTAAGTTTTATCCAAACATATTCTGGAAAGCAGGGAAAGACGATCAGTAGCGGCTTCCAGCTGCACTTGAGTAAAAATCTATCGGACCTGGGGCCCAAAGACTCATGTTAGCGACGGTCGGGGAATGGGATAGGAGAGAGACATGCACGCCCAAATTAAAGTCGCTCTTGAGTTCCCAACCACTAGCCTCACTCCCGACCCCCACAACTCAGCGCCCAGGGTCTCCCACCCCCGCGTGTCCCGCTGTCTCAGCGCGCGGGGCGCTGGCACTTCACCTGCAGGCTTGTCTGCAGCCATCTTCCCGCCTCGACTCGGGTTCTTCCCCGCAGGTGGCGTGGCCTCGACTCCAGCTGCCGGGCTGGCGGCTGTCCTAGACCTCTGAGGACGACTCTGTGCCCACCTTGGCTCCGGGTTCCTAGGTTCCGGCCTGGGGAGTGGGCAGGCGGCGGGCTGAGGAAGTGACGAAGGCTAGTTCGCGTCGTCTAGCAACAGCAGCGGCGTCTCTGACTAGGCGGCGCCACTGCATCCCGCCATCTACCGCCTTCGCCCTGCAGAGTCCTGGTACACACTACTTCCGGGGGCCCGCGGCCGCCGTGGGAACTGCGGCTGGCCCCGCCCACGCTGGCGTCCTCCGCGCCCCACCCCTTGCGGCGCGCGCGCGCGCGCGTACCCGTCCTGACGTCCGCTCGCTCGCGCCTCTGGGAGTGTGCTGGGTGGGTTGGGAAGGTTTGCTTGCGACCGCCTTTTGTTTACCCTGATTAAAATACTTTACTGTCAGAGCTCGTGTCCCTCATTTTACATAAAATCACAATAACCGCACCTGACATATATATGTTAAGCATTGAGCCTTGCACTTGGCCTTACTTTCCCGTTGATTTCTTAAAATCTGTGAGAAAGCACTGTTGTGGTTCCCGTTGAAAAACAACATTTTATTTTAGAATACTTTTAGATGTACAGAAAAGTTGCAAAGATGATACATAGACTCTGTCCTATTGTAAAAAAACTTAATAAATTTCTATGGTACATCCGTCACATCCAAGAAACCACCTTGATTGGTGCATTACTCTTAACTAAACACACTTTTTTTTGGATTTTTGCCATTTTTCCACCAATGTTCCTTTTTCTGTTCCAGGAATGGGATACCACATTACATTTAATTCATCGTGTCTTCCTAGGCTGTTCTTTTTTTCTTTTAATTTCTCTCAATTTTTTTAATCGAGGCATAATTGACATACATTAGTTTCAGGTATACAACATAATGATCGATATTTGTATTTATTCCTAAATGATCACCATAATAAGGCTAGTTAACATCCGTCCCCATACATAGTTAAAATTAATTTTTTTCTTGTGATGAGAAAAATTTTTTTCTTGTAATGAGAACTTTTAAGATTTACTCAGCAACTTTCAAATATGCAATAGAGTGTTATTAGTCACCATGCTGTACATTACATCCCCATGACTTATTTATTTTATAAGTGGAATTTTGTACCTTTTGTCCCACTTCATCTATTTTGCTCCCCACCTCCATCTCCACTTCTGGCAATCACCAATCTGTATCTATGAGTTCTCTTTCTTTTTTTTAAGATTCCACATACAGTATTTGTCTTCCTCTGACATATTTCACTTAGCATCATAAAGTCTGTCCACATTGTCCTCATCCTCTTCTTGCTTTGGATACGGTCAGGCAAAGGCGTGATGCTCAGACCTGTGGCAGTTACCTATGGCCCGTGAGAAGACGACAAAAAGAATCTCAGGGATGTCAAACTGCATCCTGACATTGTGAGTCACTGATCCAGCAATGAAACAGTCTACCTGCAGATTTCTCAACAGTGAGATAATTAATGCCTACATTATTTGAGACTTCAGGTCCATTAGTATAGCATCTCCTCACATAGTGCACCACTGTTGTCTCAAGAAGACTTGTTCTGCAGTTTTTAATTTTGGCACTTTCTGGATTGTACCACAAGATGCCACAAATGGTAGGTTTTCAGATCAAGTCTGCACACACAGAGGGAATGACAAACATACTAAACAGCCATCTGACAGACTGCTTGTGAGATGCTATCACTTGTGAGAAGTCTGCCACTTTTAAAGATGAAAAAAGACCACATCTTAGAATCAATGTAGTATGATGAAGCCTCTCACCCAAATTTCCCCTTTGTTCTCATTGGTGAAATTGGTTGCCTGCCCACCGCTGGGTAATTACTGGCAAAAAAGAAAGGAGAGTCCAACCCATGCCTTGGCTCCATAATGATGCATCTGCAAAACATTTCTGTGAGGGATAAATAAAATCAGGATTTTATTAAACATGAATGGGGAATGGCTGCTGACAGGACAACTTCTTATCACTTTACCTCTATTTATCTCTTTTTTTATTGACAAACATTTAAGTCATTTCCAATTTTCATTTCACAAACATGGCTGCAGAACATGTGAACAGTTAAAAGAGTTTCTCTTGGATAACAGTGTACCCATATTTGGCAGGGTCCAGGAACCTTATTGTGAAACTTTTCAAACATACTCAAAAGTAGAAAGTATAACAAACCCCACGTGTCTATTCCCCAGCTTCATTTTACCATATACTCGTTTCATCTACCCCTTCCTCCTTGTTATGTTTTGTTGCTGGAATGTTTTAAAGCAAATTCCAGACATCATATCATCCAGCTCTAAATGTTTCAATATGCAATTCAAAAAGAAATATTCAAATATTTTCTTGCATAATCACAATACTATTATCATGCCTTACAAAATTCAAAATTTCTTTAATATCATTCAGTTACCAAGCCATACTCAAATTTCCTCTATTGCATAAAAAATTATTTTGTAATTTATGTTTAGAATTAGGATCAAATAAGATCATTTTATTTGACTGTTATGTCTCTTGTGTTTTTTATGTCTTTTAAGCCTTATGTTTTTCTTAATCTAGTATAGTCTCATCCCCTTTTATTATTCCTTACACTGACTTATTGATGAAATTAGAATCCAGTATAAGGTGGAATATGGTATATTCCATATACCATATGGTATATCACTTTGGCATATGGTATATCACTTCCTCGTGGACTGCATTCTTTATGCTCAATATTTAGTTCTAAAGGCTCGATCATGTTATGATTCAAAATTTTCTCCCTGAGAATCCTTCTTAAGCAGTGCTTTCTTCCTAGGTATACTTTCTGCAACCTCATCAGAAGGCATACAATGTTGGTTGTCTTGCTTTTTGTGACATTAAAATTGACCCTTGGGTTAAGAGTGACAGCCTGGTTTTTATACATTTCCTATCAGTTTTTCTCCTAGTGGTTTTAGAAGCATTAATGACCACCGCCTGAATCAGTTTTTTCACAAAAGGTTGAAATAATTTTCTAATTTGGACATTCACGCATTTGTTAATTAGTATCAGGGCTAAGTGAGTATCTTCTTAAATTTTATACACTAGGCACCCACTCAACTTACCCCACTCCCAGGCCTAGCTAGAATTCTTCTGTACCGAAAATCTTTCCCTTATCCATAGGGATATTTGGTTACAATGAAATT